CTAGCCACCTACCGAGATGAAATTAGGAGCCAAATCTATGACTCTTAAGGGCGTTTGAGCGGACCACCATGTCCGCCACCTTCGGACGTTCAAGGCGCGAGATTTGCGAAAAAAATCGAACCTCGAGGCGCATGTATATATGCCTGTATATAGCGATACCTACACGGTCCCTACTCTCGTTTCTGACACACTACTCCACCCCGGGACTCGAATTTTCGAAAAAAACGGCAAATATAGTCGTACTATTTTTAATATAGTATTTATAATCTGTAGCAGTATTTAACCAAATCGGAATCACGTAAAAACTGTAATATATCAAGTAGGTACTACACGTAGGTTAGTTATACGTTATTATAATGTGTTAATAAAAGACACATGTAGGTGCGTCGGTAAAATCAAGTATTAATTAAATGTTAATTTTAATTATTTTTTTGCCCAATAAATATCGTCAAACGAATAATAATAATATATATAATATAATAATGCAAATTTAAAAAAAACATGTAGGTGCGTCAGTAAATGTTAATTATAATAATTTTTTTGCCCAATAAATATCGTCAAACGAATAATAATAATATAATGCAAATTTAAAAAAAAAATTAACACTTTCGTTAAAAATGATAAATGTGACGAAAAAAAAAACGCAAAATTAAGAAAATCGATTTAGTACGGCCGCCGCAAATAACCGAAAATCCCGGAGGGCGGTTTCGAACCCACGACCCTCGAATCACCTATCCTAACGCCTAACCAACCTAGCCACCTACTCACAGGAAAATTTAAAGGCAAATGTATGACTCTTAAGCCGCGTCGCCGTGCTCGCGGCGATAAAATAAAATTCTTATCACATTCCTTATCAATAAAAACAATATTTAAGAAAATCCCAATAAATCCTATCAAAAACTCAAAACCCCGAGTTTCCCCTTGGCGAGGTGGGTGTTAGTACTCTCCCGGACCAAAATCCATCAAAAAAGCAAAATCCAAAAAGGGGGGGAGGAGGTGCCCCCGTTCCCTAAAGCGGAAAACGGTAGTATTCATAAAAAGAATGGGTTCCCCTTTGGTCCGAGGTCTTTAACTTGAATTCCGGCCGAGTTATACTCAACTCAAAATGTGGGGGGGGTGGGGGCTTTGGTTTCCTAATGTTGAAAATTCATCTGGGGCCCAAAAAATTGAGATGCCCATTGGTACGGGGTCTCTAAGTCGAATACCGGCTAAGTTATACTTGGTCAAAAATAATTACTCGTTTAATGGGTCCCCCCACTCCGCCCGACGGTCGCGGGGTAATCGATTTATAAGACGTTATTATCACGTCAAAAAATTGAAAAACATGGGTTTTTTTTTAATAATAATAATAATAATGTTCGAAAATATTAGGATCGATAAGGAAAAGGGAGATAAGCGAGCGGAATTTATAGCGAACGCGCGGGAAGTATTGTGATTGGTCGTCATGGAAGAAACGCGGAATGCCGTGAGCGCTCCCCGCGGATCTTATACGCGTTATTAGCGTTTTATTATATAAGATTTGAATAGCATAACTAATTACAATTTTAACTATTTATAAATTATTCAAAATGTCCCATTTCTTGCGCAGGCTGGTGGCCTCGTTGAACACGTGAAACCTTCTCTTTCGTCTCTAGTGATGACCTACAATATCATTTTTCTTGTTAAACTTTTCCTCAACAATAAAAATGTTTTCATCTGTAAATAAAATATTTTTAATTTTTTTCGACCGTACAGGCGTAGCAGCTTTTTGGATCTTCATGTCTTATTGCCTTTAATAGGTCCGTAAACAGATGGCTTGTACATCGTTACTATGAATACTACAACAATTTCTGTGATTGAGCAATGTATCTGACTCTAATTATAGTATATTTATAGTGTTGCAACATTTATAAGTCAACATTTTCCTAAACAGCATAGTACTGTTGGTATTTATGTCTAGACTAGGTAATATGAAATGCAAAACACATAATACACAATACTAAATATACATACGCGATATGCCCAAAAAAAATTTTCTCACTAACTTTAAAACATCTGTAAAAATAAAATATCAAATATTCAATAAACTAAATAAATAATTCATCTGATATAAAAATTGATTGAATCTCAACTTTCATTCAAATTACATGTAAAGCACTTATATCTTAATTATGTTGCTATAGACGTATGACGTATCTATACTTTTTTTAATAATCACTAATCAGTAATAACGTAAATATCAATAAAATGTAAATAAAATTAAAACTTATTGTGTTTCTATATTTCAACAACAAACTAAACACATTTTTTTTTTTTTGTTGACGGGTAACTATTTAATGGAGTGGATTATTAGTAATAATAATCTCTGCATAAGTATATTCATAATATAGATATTTACACAAAATTCAACATATCATTAGAATTAATTTAAATGACAATTTATTTTGGGGGAGAAATTAGAAAAATTGTTAGAACATTTGCCTTGGACCTTTAGCAGCACTAAAATTGCAATGTCAAACTTTGAGATTATATTCCAGTATTTTCTTGTAGATTAAAGTACAATTATAAAAAAAAGTGTAATATTTAAGCACCACTGTCTAGTTTTTATAAACGTAGGTCTGACGTTTAATATTCGTTAAATATTCATATTAATATTTTCTTAAGTAATATAATAAAACATTCACTACCAATTTTTATAATATTTTTGTTCTTAGATACTGTTTAGAAATCAGGTTGGTGCCCCTTTTTTTGAAAGGTGATACTAACATTAATTTTGTTTGTAAGAAAAACATATTCTCAGAAATAAATTATATTTGTATTTCCTTTTTAAGCCTATAAAGGTCAAATTTTGAAGAAATTCAAATTTATCAAGAGTATTAATCACAAGCATTAACAAATTGTTTTATGCTTAAAATATGAATAAAAAATATGTATTTTTAATATTAAAAGTTAGAAAGAATTGAATACCTACTAAATACCACAATTAACTTTTAGGTGGTTACTGTTCATATTACAAGATTTGTTGACGTCTCGAAGTCTATTACTTTCATGCCATTGACTTTAGACGTGATGTGTAAGCTTTCGTATCCAATTGTTGATCGAAAGAATTCTTCTTTACCACTTTTTATAATAATTTTCCCTCTTATAATTCGAAATTATAAAACATAAACATTGATGAGATTGTATGTAATATTCTTTATACGAATCAAAATATTAAGTAGGTACTTTGATCAATTTTTAGTTTTATTAAAGCTGTAACGGGACACCACAACAGAACCTCCCAAGTTAATGTAATCGGCAAGTATAACACACACAAAATAAGTGACATGACCATAAAAAAGGTTTCTACAGAAATATAAAACAACATTATGACGGATGAAAAACACGCCGTTTAAGAGAGACTACCAGATAACGGGGTGACTTTCATTCATCATATGAAGAGCTTTTGACCAACCAGAGCCAGTAAAGATTTCCGAAATGGTATATTACCAAGACCATTCTACAATCTCTCCATAAATCACTTATCCAGTCTACAGTCCAATTGCTAACACGTCAACTGCCAACCAATACTCTGCAGCCAGCGTTCAGTAGTAGTTCCTTCAAACTGCCGTTTTCACCTTTTCTTAACAGGGGATCAGCTCCCACAAAAATCCGCAACGGAAGCGACGTTCCCTCCGAAACTAGCTGTCGTTTGGTTCCACCCTCACATAGCCACAGCATCCCCCCCAAAAAGTTACACCCACTCTGACTATGACCAGATAACGTAAAGGGGTAACCCCCTACCAACAAAGCACTGAAAATTGCACGACAACGTTCAGATCCCCCATCCCCAACACCATCCAAATCGTCTGACTCTAAAACTCTAGACTCTTTTTCTGACTCTAGCCTCTCAACAGACCACTCTCTATCCTTTCTGACATCTGAAGACTCTACAAATACATTACTCACTACAAAAACCGCTACCACCTCAACTGCCCAAACTCCGTCTCAAACTACATCACTCTCCAGACCACCTCCTATCATATTGAACTCAGTTTCCTGGCGAAAAGTCGAGCCCGTCATCTATACTCTCTAAAATTTGCACCGAAGCTCCTTGTCACCAAAATCCTCCAGCGAGAGGGTAACCTTGCGGGCCGCTGATGCAACCCTTTTTCGCATGGTCCAGAAGACATTGCTTCAACACAGCACTGAGTCTCACACTTTTTCTCTCCCTGAGGAACGCTCCCTTAATGTCGTTCTGAAGGGAATTCCGAACGAAATATCTACTGATGAACTCAAAGACGAGCTAGAAACCCTGTGTTACACTATTAAATACGTCCGCCGCTTTGGTACTCTTGAGAAACCAATGCCGATATGTTTCGTGCACATCGCCGCCAATCAAATAACTAAAGATATTGGCCAGATTTATAGACGATACTTGGAAAAATCTTAGTATTATCTCAACTAAAACTAGAAATTGGTATTTATAAATCAGACTTATGATATTTACTAAGAATTATCTTAGTTATATTTTAACTTAAATAAATCCTAAGTTTTGGTATTTATAAATGGTACTATGAAAAATTTTAAGAAAAATTTGAGTAAAAATTAAGAAATATCTAAGGTACCTACTAACCATGCTTAACAGTCACTCAACAGACACAAAATTAATAACTTGGTATAAAATAGTTACTTTTATACTATTAAATTGTTGTTCGATCTTTTATAAAAAGTTGATAATTTTGTTTAATTTATTTTTTACTATTTTAAAATGGATATTAATTATCTTGATTATCTTGATGATGACTTAAACTATTATTGGCTAGAACAAACTATTCGTGTTCCTAAACGATATTTACGTGATATGCAAAACTCCGTTGAAGGGTAAGTAATTTTGAAATATTTTTTAATAATTCCCCTTTACAAATATTTATTAGTAAACATTACTAGATTTTCAGATTTGCAATTTTTCCAACGGTTTAGGTTTCCAAAATATATTGTGTTAGAAATAATTTTACCTATGATATAGGTACTTTGATAATATGGATTGCAATTTTGATAGATGTGGGTTAAAAATCGATAATATTACAAAAGTGTTAATTGCCCTACGTTTCTATGCAAGTGGAAATGACCAAGTATTTGAATGCAATTTAAATGAGTAATTATGGTAAGATTATTGTTAATTTAATTTTATTGTTTTATAGAGAGTCAATGGAGATACATTAGGATATTCACAAGCTTCGGTTTCTATTGTAGTTAAAGAAGTATCGGGATTACAAGCTAAATGTGGAAAAAAATGGATTCGATTTCCATCAAATTTACAAGACACTAAGGAACAATTTTATTTAATTGGTGAATTTCCTGGTTTAATTGGAGCTATAGATTGTACACATGTCCCTATTAAAAGTCCCGGAGGCAACAACGTAGAAATGTATAGAAATCGAAAAAGATGGTTGTCATTAAATGTTCAATTGTTTGTGGTCCTAAAGGCTAAAATGCAAATTTTTGACATAGTCTGCAGATGGCTAGGTTCAAACTAATGTAATTATTAATTAATAAGAAATCGTATTAGCAATATTTGATATTATTATCACAGATAAGTCAGCTAATCTGTGGCAATAAAATATTAATTATGCTGATAACAATAAAATTATATATAATCTCCTGAACATTTTGCTTTTAAGAAATATTTTTACTTGAAATATTCTTAGAAAAATCTTAGCTAAGAAATAACTTGGTACCCTTTATAAATACCACTTGTGAGTTAGTGAAAAATATTTACTTAGCATAGTTGAATATAAGTAAAATCTTAGTATATCTCTAGTATCGTCTATAAATTTGGCCAATATTTCTTCTTAATAACTTATTTTATTTACAAATCATAGTCAAACCTCTTAAATCCTCCGGCCCTGCCCAGTGCTTTTTGTGTCAACGACTTGGCCATGGTTCTCGTAACTGTGGTCATCCGCCGGGATGCGTAAAATGCGCTGGAAACCACACTGCCAACGTCTGCTCAAAAACTTTCGAACAATCTCCGACATGCTGCAACTGTGGTGGCCCACACACGGCTAATTTCCGAGGCTGCCACCAACCTCTTGACTGCACTATCTAACAATCAAGATTCGAAAACACTTATAGAAACAAAAATCAAAACATTCCTGTCCATACTTTCGCCTCAAAATGAATAACTGAAAAATACTTTTATGGAACTCCAATGGTATCAAACACAAACTCAACGAGATACGTTCCTTCGCACTCCTTCTGAAAACCGACATAATCTTACTTAACGAAACCTGTCCACCCACTTCTACCGAACTTCACATTCCTAACTTTTCCACATACAAGAATGATCTGCTGCCCTTCCACGGCTCGCCTGCTCACGGTGGTACGGCTGTTCTAATCCATCGACGCATCATTCACCAACCTATAACTCTTAACACACTCATTCAAACCTCTTCCGTCCTTATCCAACTAAATGGCCACGAATTACTTGTAACAGCGGTATACAAACCACAAGGCGCTACACTCACGACTCACGACTTAGATTTGTTGACCCAAAGTGCTGAATGACAAATTTTGGCAGGTTATTTCAACGCCAAACACCCCTTGTGGTTTAGAAACTCGACAAACACTGCCGGCCGAGTCCTCTTTGACCACGTTCAACAATCAGACTATACCATTACTGGCCCCTCTTCCTCCACGCACTTCCCGACAAACGCTCGATATAGATCCGACATACTTGACAGTTGACATCGCTCTCGTTCGATTACCTTACCCTACTCAAATCGACAACCTCAACAAGCTATCTGCTGACCACAACCCTATTCTTCTGGAGACCTTATGTACTCCGGTAAATCCCTCCAACGACTAACTGCATCATTAACTGGACAAAATATAAAACAATCCTCTCCAACTTACCTAACCCAACTGAACGAACGACCAAAAGCAGTCAGTCAATTGATTCGGCAATGGATTGTATAACCAAAAACCTACAACACGCGATCAAAGCTAGCGTATTTACCCCTAAACACAAAAACTCATCCTTTTTACTACCCGACTACATAAAACTTGAAATGACACGAAAAAAACCAGTCGATGGCAGGGAATCTGTGACCCGACACTAAGCGTCAACTTAATGCCAAAATCGTAATTTAACTTTAAAACTCGAACTTAACTTGAAACTCACAAGACTGACCAGTGGGACATTTCTCTTAACTCACTTGACCATCAATACGGTTCCATATAAAAATTAAATAAATGTCTCCTCTAAAAACGTCCAGCGTCCCACCAGCTTACCATCTCCAATGGTATAGTGTTTTCGGCCATCGATCCAGCTGAGTTAATAGATGACTCTCTCGAACTTCAATTCCAACCAAACCACTGTTCCGACCTTCCAGAAGTAACTGCACACTTCAACTCACTACATAACATTAAAATCATTTAATTCAACCTATTAACCTATTCACCACTCCTGGCACAATAAAAAAATCTTAAACATTTTCCATAAAAAGAAAGCCCCTGGTGACGACCTCATCACAAACACAGCTCTTAAATTTCTACCTAACACAAATTATCAACTGCTCCTTCAGATTTGGCAACTTTCCACGCGCTTGGAAAAAAACAGTAATTATATCTATTCCCAAGCCAGGCAAATACCACAAACTAAACAAAAATTACAGACAAATCGCTCTACTCTCCTCCCTATACAAAATGTACGAGCGAATCATTCTCACTCACCTGCAAAACAATCTCTGGGACAAAATCCGTTCAGAACAATTTGAATTCAGACCTGAACGCTCTACCACAATACGACTGACCAAACTTACTCACCAACTTAGCCAGAACTTTAACGACAACGTAAACACCACTTTCATCTTTCTTGACGTGGAGAAAGCCTTCGACCGAGTCTAACACGTAGGTCTCCTCTACAAGCTATCCCAACTCAACATCCCGACTGAAATCGTTAAAATCATCGAATCTTTTCTCACTGACCGCACCTTCATCCCAAAAATCGAAGACTCATTCTCCTCCACCAGACACATACTCGCAGGCGTCCCTCAAGGATCCTGCCTTTCACATACTCTCTACTTGACTTACATAAATGATATACCAACAACTCCCAAAGCACATCTCTCACTTTTCGCTGACGACCCGATGTTCTTTACTTTCGATAAATACCCGAAACGAGCATCTATACAATTACAACACCAACTCATCCTAGCTGCCACATGGTTTCGTCGCTAGAGAATAAAATAAATCCGACTAAAACTTTAAGTATCTTTTCGGACGTTCTAATACTTCACACATTCCACCATTACTACTCGACAACCATCCAGTGAACTAGTCCAATCATGCCAAATCTCGGCGTTATAATCGAGCGCAAACTCACCTTCGATAAACACGTCCATGACATCACCAAGGTCGCCACTCGCATTTGCGGAATGCTTTACCCCATACTTAACCGTTCTAGCCCCATCCCAAAGACTCGAAACTCAACATTTAAAAACTCTACGTCTCTCCAATTCTTTCTTATGCAGGCTCCACTTGGGCACCCTTTATCGGTCCCTCACATTGGAAACGTATCGAATCTGTCCAAAATATCGACATTTGTACGATAACGGATATGCCCAATATCGTTAAAAACTCGGTCCTTCTAAAATCTGCTAATTTCCATTGAATCCAAAATTCTATTCATACTCAATCCAAATCGATGTTCTACAAAATTCCTTCTCCGTTCATGCCCACATCCGACTCCTAGGTAAAACTCACTCCCTCCAACCACTAAACATAGAATCAAACCTCACTCTTTAACGTGGGTAGAACAAAAATGTTGGAAAAAAAAAATCACCTTCAACACACTTCCATCCACTAGTAGAGGCAAAAGCCTGGTATAGTTAACGGCTCAGTCATCCCTACAAAGCAAATCCAAGCAAAATCTTTACAGATAAACACTCACTCTCAACCAGGAAAAGCCCATAGCCATCAAACTTGGAAGAAGAGGAATCCAAAAATACCTCAATACTGCGTATCAACAACACAGTTATTCAGTGGAAAACAACCGTCAAATACTTTGGAGTTCACCTGGACAACAGATTAACATTCCGTCGTCACGCCATTGAAACCGCAATCAAGGCGAAACGTACCAGAGCAGCCTTGTACTCAATAATCAGCCACCACAGTCTTATCCCACTACGAGCAAAACTAAACATAGCAAATGTATGTGAGGTTAATACTCACAAACGCGGGACCTGCATGGGGAGCTCAAATTTCCCTAACCAGCTGGAAAAAACTCGAAACAGTGTAAAACATCGCTCTTCGTACTATCACGGGCTCTCAGTGATACATACGAAATACCACCATCCAGGCTTCAACGCATATGACATCAATTCAACAATCAGTCACCAAAAATGTCAAGAATATGTGCACAAGACTGGAAACTTCAAACCATCATCACCTTCTCAATATTTACCAAACTATCGGTCATGAAGAAACTGCCAGGAAAAGGTCAAAAAGCATTCACGATATAGTGCCCAAATCTGAGAACATCATGAAAATCGACGATCTACTCCGAGCCAGGGGGATTAAAAGTCCCTCCTGCCAAGCAATGCAATGCAATCTCTTCGTCATTTAATCCTTCAAGCTGTCACCAACTACAACCAAGTTCCAGACAGAAAAAGAATCCAGACCGTCCTACGACCTAGTGTTCGACGACTACGATGCCGCTAAACGGTAACAAGCATCGTCCAGTACACCGATTACTCAACGAGGCTGCCGCTCCACGGCAGTTAGACTCGTGTCGACCCGTATCTTGACTACGATACCACCGCTAAACGGTGACCAGTAACGGCCAGTGCGCCGACTGATGGAATGCGGCAGTTTGACTCCGACTACACGACCGTTACGCTCGACCCCCCAGCCCGCCTTCTTAGGCCACGATCGAACACCACTTCTCTGAGCGGGCTTGACGTGATTGGACTCGACCCCCCCTTACAATATTATATAGGCTGTAAATAACTTATTCCCACTAATGTAATGGATCCGTAGGTGGCAGCCGGCCGCTAAGCCCTGATTCCTGTATACTTGTATATAATATATTAAATAAATATTTAAATTACAGTTATTATCTACATCATAAAAAAAACCGGAGTTAAACTACATTAAGATTGGCACACGTAACCCGTGTGCCATATCAAAGCTTAGTTGGTCCTGCAAAATATATTAGTATTATATATGTAGTGTGTTCATTAGAAAGCCCTTCATACGTGACGGGTAAGTTCTGTAAGTACTTTGTTTATATGCGTTTAAACTGAGTAATTTTTAGACCACAAACAAGGCTAATGTTTAAAAATAAATAAAATTATGAAATGCAAAAAACATTAATACACAATATTTAATATTTATACATACGTGGTACGCCCGTCACACATTTGTTAATTGGACTAGCAGCATCTGTATAATAAAAATGTTAAATATTCAATAAATTAAGTAAATAATTCATCAGATAAAAATTTATGGAATCTCAGGTTTCATTCGAATGACATATGTACAGCACTTATATCTTAATTATGCTGCTGTTGATGTACGTCTATACTATTTTAGTAATTACTAATCAGTGATAAGTAATCACGTATCAATAAAATTGAAATTACACACGTGCCCCCCCAACCCAATACTGATATAAAAACCGACAAAACCATACACCTAATAGCTATAGACGTTGGGCTTAAGATCTACAAAAAAAAAAAAATTAAAACTAATTGTGCTTATATTTCAACAGTTAACTAAATACATTTCTTTTTTAAAAAATATTAGAAATTTGAAATTGTAGATTTTATATTGTATTCCTTTTTGAGATGTTGATTGATTTTTAAAAATGATGAACCCTATAGGTTATACAGTGTCAACCATTTATAGAAGATGTTTAGGTCTATCTAAAGTCTGGATAAATGATAGTAACAGTCATAGTCAATCATGGTTAATGTCGTTTGTCAACTTAACGGTTTCATAAATCATAACTATAATAGTACTCATCGAGTAAGTTGAGCTTTTAAATGAATGTTTCTGTATTTTTAAATTTAGTATAAGGTTATTCAGAAGTGACAGCATTAATAAAAATATATATATATATATATATATTATAGTATAGGCAGTAATAACTTGGTATTATATTTCGGTAAACCGAAATTTAAATATTGTACAATTTCAAAGGATTCATGAATAATAAAAACATGTAAGATTCGTCTAATACAGTGATTCCCAACGTGGGCTCTACTAGACTCTAATATATTACGATATAAATTAAAATTATTATTAATCATAAAAAATAAATTACCTGTATTAGCTAGTGAATCGGGACCTAGTTTGAATATTGGTATTAAAAAAAATTTTGTTTTATTTTTTAATAATTTATACACTGATTACCTTATTCAATTGTATTGGTTTTTTTTAATTTAAATAATTTAATTTAACATAATTGTACAACTTTAATAACTGCACAGTGAGTTTACAACGAAGGCAGACCGTAAACATGAAGATAATGCGACCAGGTGAGGCGATCCCGACCGATATTCGACTTTATCTCAATATTAAGTTCACATTTTATTACTTTTATTATTCAATTAAATATGGAATCAAACAGCTATAAATAAAATACCCGGTAGTAATTAAAATAAGTATAATAATGGTTTCATTCAGAAGTTTTCAATAAATTTACAGAATATCCAGGAGGACACCAATTTTTAAAATGAATAGTTTTTGGTAGAAATAAAAGAACAAGCTAAATTTGAACATAATATACAAGGTGATTATATGTAGTATGTACAGTATTATATTCTTTACTATACTCCGGGCGGAATAAGAACGTACCTCGTCACGCAGGCGGCGACCGGTTTCGCGTCCGCAACCTTGTCATAGTTATAAACCTTTAGTTATAGTCATAACTATGATCTGCGCGCAGCAAACTTGTTTTGGTCCGCCGCCCGGGATGTGCGTGAAGTTAGCCCCCCGAATTTGACATAGAGACTCCAAACTAGTGCCAATATTTAGCAACCTTTTAGCAACTTTTAGCAACCTACATGAAAAAATTTGCAACCTATTACTTCGTGACTAAAATCAGCATAATAAAACTGGGGGGCCAACTTCACGCAGCCCCCCGACTTTGTCATAAAGACTTCAGACTTGTGCCAATATTTAGCAACCTTTTAGCAACTTTTAGCAACCTACATGAAAAAATTTGCAACCTCTTTTTTTACCTACTTTATTAGGAAACAAGTTCGGGGGGCTAGCCCCCCGACTTTGTCTTATCAACTTCGGACTTGTGCCAATATTTAGCAACCTTTTAGCAACTTGTAGCAACCTACACTAAAAAATTTGCAACTTCTTTTTTTACCTACTTTATTAGGAAACAAGTTCGGGGGGCTAGCCCCCCGACTTTGTCTTATCAACTTCGGACTTGTGCCAATATTTAGCAACCTTTTAGCAACTTTTAGCAACCTACTTGAAAAAATTTGCAACCACTTTTTTTACTTACCTTATCAGGATACAAGTTTGGTGGGCGAGCCCCCCGACTTTATCCTACGGACTTCGGACTTGTGCCAATATTTAGCAACCTTTTAGCAAGTTTTAGCAACCTACTTGAAAAAATTTGCGACCACTTTTTTTACCTACTTTATCAGGAAACAAGTTCGGGGGGCTAGCCCCCGACTTTGTCTTATCAACTTCGGACTTGTGCCAATATTTAGCAACCTTTTAGCAACTTTTAGCAACCTACTTGAAAAAATTTGCAACCACTTTTTTTACTTATTTTATCAGGAAACAAGTTCGGGGGGCTAGATTTTTAATTCAACTGGGTTAGAAAGATAGAATAATTATTAACTATAAACTATTAAAAATTTTTTAATATATATAGAGTTATTGTCAGTTTTGAGTGTATGCAACGTGTTTTTGTATTCAACTTTGATTACTTATTATGGTTTGTTATTTCAACCATTAAATGTAGTTTTTGAATCTTTAATAAATGCCAGTTATGAACTCTGATGTGATTTACCTGAAGTTTGAAAGTTGTATTTTTTTTTTTGTTTCTTTACTTCTTATTAAGACATTTTATAATATTATGTTTATCATATTTTTTTGTTAAGTATTAAGGTTAAATAAAAAAAAATTGGTCCAACATTTTGTAGTTTTGTACTTTTTGACTGAAAGTAGTTTATTTAAATAGTTTTCTAACATGAAGATATATATTTGTTACTACCAATTTTAAATATAATGCACTGTGAAAAAAATCAAAAAAATTTGCAACCTATTACTTCGTGACTAAAATCAGCATAATAATAATGGGGGGCCAACCTCACGCAGCCCCCCGACTTTATCTTATCAACTTCGGATTTGTGCCAATATTTAGCAACCTTGTAACAACTTTTAGCAACCTACTTGAAAAAATGTGCAACCACTTTTTGTATCTACTTTATCAGGAAACATTTTTTTACTTATGAATGTTTTGTTATTTGGATTCAAGTTTAGATATTTTTAATTATTTTGTTGTTGCTGCATAATATATAGGTACTATGTTTTTTTTCCAAACTTCTAAATGAATACATTTATTGTTGTTTCAAAATTATTTTTTACTTTGAGAAACTGTGAGTGTTATTATAAATAATACTTTATACCACAGAGGTGCGCACTCTTCAATTTCCGGTTTAGCCTGCAACAATTACAGAACCCTACTGATCTATTACTTCGACAGTACCCCTAATTATTTAACCCATCAATTTAAAATAATAAATTAAAATTAGTCTAAACGAATAACTGTGTTATTGATATCAATAAAAATAAAATAAACTATAAGAAATAATAATTATAATGTCTTATTATATTTTGCAGCACATCGCATAATAAAATTCAATATATTACTTAACATAATAAACACTATAATATAATAAACAGTAACATAGGTATCGATTAGATTATTTAGTGGGCAGTTCACGGTCTTTCATTTTAAAGCTATTTGTTATAAAGTATGGATTTTTCTGTGGAGCTGTCGCTGTGTTTTCATGAGCTTTACGGGTTCGCTCACCTTTATATTAAATAAATAAAACACGTTGTGTTATAGATGTATTAACTTTTAAAGTTTATAGTCTATACCAGTTGTCTCAAACACGCGGCCCACCGACTACATGTGGCCGCGATTGCCCGCGAACCCGTTCGATGTGGCCCACAATAGTTCAAAAATATATCTTATTAAGTATCGGTAAGAATTTTAGTTTTTATTTAAACATCAATGATTATTAATATTATATTACTTGAGATTCGTAATGTTTTAATGTTTTATTTGTACGTCCCTCGTTAGTAATCAATCCCTAATCACCGATAAGATACACACTAAAAAAAATCCCATTATGTGATTTGTAACTATTCGTGTTAAATATAGGTATAGTGTACTAAGTACTTAGTCTGTGTGACTCACAGAATGTTATATCCACACAAAAGATAAATTATAAATTTTAAGGACATAGGTAAAAAAAAAAAGGTCTATGTTAATGTTTTGCCCGCGAACCTTTGACGAATAAGTATATAACCCGATGGTAATTTGAGTTTGAGATCACTGGTCTATAGCTGTTGTATTTGTGTAGGTAC